TTGCCTCTCCTCCCAGTGATGACCTGCCTCGTTCCCTCTCTCTCTCTCTCTGACCTTCTTGCCTTGTCTTTCTCACACTCTCTCTCTCCCGCTCCCTCTTGCCTCTCCTCCCAGTGATGGCCTGCCTCGTTCCCTCTCTCTCTCTCAGATCGCAGTTGCTGACCTTCAGCCCATCCTGAAGAAGCTGTTGATGGCTCTGGCGATCCGTCAGAAGTACATGCACCGTTCGCTGCAGAGATTCCCACGCACCACGGCGCAGACCCTCAGGGAGGTGAGCGGAGGGCACTGGACTGAGCAGGAGGACATCCAGCCTGGTAAGGAACCCCGTCTCCCCGGCTCGGAGCTCCCATCCACCCTGGAAACCCTCACCGCCACAGGCTCCCAGCGCTGTGTCACGCGGCATGGAAGCAGGCCCTTCGGCCCATCTTGTCCATGCTGACCTGATATCCTAAATTAATCCAGTCCCATTTTCCAGCATATCCCTCTAAACATCTTCCTATCGATATACCCATCCAGATGCCTTTTAAATGCTGTAACTGTACCAGCCTCCACCACTTCCTCTGGAAGCTCATTCCATACACACACCACCCTCTGTGTGAAAAAGTTACCCCTCAGGTCCCTTTTAAACCTTTCCCCTCTCACCTTTAACCTATGCCCCTCTAGTTTTGGACTCCCCTACCCTGGGGAAAAGACCTTGTCTATTTAACCTATCCATGCCCCTCATGATTTTATAAACCTCTATAAGGTCACCCCTCAGCCTCCGACGCTCCGGGGAAAATAGCCCCAGCCTCTCCCTGTAGCTCAAACCCTCCGACGTTCCAGGGAAAATAGCCCCAGCCTCTCCCTGTAGCTCAAACCCTCCAGTCCTGTGGGACAGTGGTAATGTCCCTCCCTTTGAGCAGGGAGGCCCTGAGTACAAGTCTCCCCTGCTCCAGCGGATGCATAAGGACATCTCTGAACAGGTTGATTGGAAAAACAGATTAAATAAAGATGGTCGCAGAGCATGGGATAGCCTTCCCTGTCTGTTCAAACCAAACCCCACACCGAGCAGCCCGAGAGAGGAATTTTGGAGTTAACTTGCTTGGGGAATACTACAGCACCCTTGGGACCTGGGGCGTGGGTGTCCTGAACTCGGGTCTCCTCGCTCAGAGGCAGGGGCACTCCTACTGCAACGCAAGAGCCCCCTTGACCTGCCTCCGTGATGCTATTTCCTGTGGGATCTTGCTGTGCGGGTGGGTTAACTGGGGGCCAAGATGGAGCGAGGGTGTGGAGGGGTGGGATAGGGGTCCATCGCTGCTGCAGTTGGGGCCCACTCCTGCAGCCTCAGAACCCGTGCCCCGGGGAGAGGGAGGAGGAGAAGGGCGGGGGGGGGGGGGGGGGATGGGGAAGGAGGGGGGGAAGGGGGAGGGGGGGAGGGGGGGGGGAGGGGAGGGAAACTGGGAGGATGGGTGGAGAGGGGAGAGGAGTCAGGGAGAGGGGAGGGGAGTGATGGGGAAGGGAATGGAGAGGTGTAGGGGG